TGTAAATTCATCAAAATTGCTGACTAGTGAGAGCTGGTGTGACATGAAATTTGTGAATTTTGGTGATTAGTTGTGAAATAAAACATGGAACATTTCATTAAAATCACTACATTCTTCATCCACGTGACGTCAGCATCTATTGGTTATAGTCAGCAATTCTCGATAAAAAGAATTATAAACATGAAGGACCAAATGTAAGAAGTAACTACTAGGGGAACTGAATCTCACAGTAGTCCTTGTTATAGGACTGGCAAAACTAGTTTTCTGTAAAAAGATGCTTCAGTGAATATTATTTAGGTCTTAATTTATCCCCTCCAACAATGGGACGCTTTCACATTTGACGTAGCAAGTTGAATTTAACTTTAAATTCAGGCTAAATATGTTTTTTGTGGACTGGATAGGTATGTTACGTGAACCTAAACATAGTCATCTCAAGGAGCTGCACAAAGCCATTAAGCTGTGTGAGAGAGCTCTTGTTTCGGCCGACCCCAGTGTGATTTCTTTAGGGAGACATCAACAGGTTCTACCTCTAATCTTGTCAGCTCACTTGAACAGATAATGAGATTTTGCTGAGGGTCGTTTTTCTGATCATTTGATGATTTTCCAGGCTTACGTATATCATTCGAGTTCTTCCGAGTGTGCTGCCTTCCTCTCGAATTATGATACTGAGAATGTTGTAAAAGTGTTTTTCAATAACCGGCACTATAAACTGCATCCTAAGTCCATCAGCATCCTCGCAAACTGCCAGGATGTGATTTTCAATACAGCCGTGGTATGTAATCATCTTGGTAGTTAGTTATTAACAGTTATGGTTAATTGCAGAAATAACCTTGAGTTTTCGAGTAGTTACAAAAGAACCTCTGCTATCTCTCTGAAATCACGTCAAGTATCACCTTTGAACAAATTGTACCTTCAGACGTGTTGTAAAAACATAAATCAAACCTTAAGGGCGTGTTTGTGAGGCCTTGCGTTAAGTAACTGAACTTCGCAAAATTGTTGTTTGTTTTCTTTTTGCTTAATCAATAAAAATGAGGATGGTAGATTCTTGTAATTATCCCAACAATAATGTTGTTTCCTTGTGTCTGAGTATTATTATTCACCAAATTTTCGTCACACTTTTGAACACGGGATTTTGGCATTGGTGGATGACAGGTTGGGGTTCAAACATCACATATGAGAATGATCTCCTCAGGCATTGAGTTTTCCGGATGGGAATCATTTAACGAAGATTTAACTTCTTCGGATGGCAGCTCAACTTTCACAGCCAGAGGCCTCATGGAACAAATAGATGTCACTAACGACTATACTGATTATCTTTGGTACACAACCAAGTAAGTAAAGTGTACTTTGTTTCTAGCATGTCGGCGAAGTGAACAATGATTAGTGATTATACTGACTTTTTTCTGTTATATTGTTCATCTTGGCAGTGTTCATATTGACTCATCAGAGTCCTTCCTGCGAGATGGAAAGTTACCGATTCTTTCTGTTCAGTCAACGGCAAGCGTTCTGTATGTTTATGTGAATGGAAACTTATATGGTAAAGAAGAAAAACATTCTTTTTTTTTTTTTTTT